TATATATATATAATGTTATAATTTATCTTTGTGTATTGGAATAAAAGTGAGTGTTTATGTTTCGGGTTCATTTACCAACTGCTTTACTACCAAAAGGAAACCCTAACCACACCCTCACAAACTGGGACCTTACAGCCCTCAGGGAGGACATCGCCTACAGCTGATTCATTAATGATTTATGCTCTGTGCAGAAAACATCTTCTGGTTTATAGGCCGTAAGGTGAACCACGTAAAGTCTTTCAGAAATTGAAATCCACTCCAACGTCTGCGAACTACACAATCTTTAGTTCATAAAAAATTAGTTATGTTAAGCTTACAGCAAAAACTGTCAGAAAAAACCCTGCCCATTTTTTATGATGAGGCATTTTATAAAGAAGAAGAAGAGATTTTGGTGCACGAGAGGTGGCACGGTCGACATGTGACCGGAGTACACCAATAGGGGAGGAGCTTTTGGTAAACATAAAAGCAAGATGGCTGCCTGCGGAGTTTCATCCAGCAGTACCAAAGAAGAGGAAAACTCACCAAAAATGAGTAAAATAACGAAATCTTCTGGACATAAACAGTGCTATATGCAGACAGCCTCTGTGAAGCATGAAAAAATTCAGGATTTCACTCTCACATGTTGAAATACGTACAGTCTACAACGGTGGCTCAGGTTGAGGGGTGAGTGCCGATACGTAGCTGAAAACTACAAACACTGCCTGGATTTGGAGTTTGAAAGCATTCCCGAGAACGCTGCTTTCCATCCCACATGCTACCGGAGGATTATTGGCAAGAGTGCACCTGCAAAAGTGAAAAGGCGTCTCGAGTGTGAGAGAGAGGAAAGGATATGGAAGACCGCTCAAGAAGTGAGGCCATCCCATCAACATCGAGCAGGATGACTCCGTGTCCGACAAAGAAACTTAGACCCAGGGCAGGCCTGCCCATCACGAGCACTGGCCCCATCCTTCCAGCCATGTGCATAAAATGCAAGAAAAAGGACAAATACATCGTAATGCAGACCCTAGGAGTGACTAAAAACCTCAGCTTGTACATAACACATAGGGATCAATGTCACTGTGTGACTGTAATGGAGGGTGTACAATCTGTTCATGCTGTTGAAGACCTGCAGTTTGATCATGAAGAATGTGACACAAGGGTGTTTTTGCATGCACAGCATGCTGCACAGGAGCACACAAATGTCATCATTAAGAGCCCTGACACTGATGTGGCAGTCATTGCTGTAAGTCTGCAGACAAATTTACCTATGAAATTAAATGTATATTATTATTATTATCATAGCATGCAGCTTATATTTTTTCACAGGGACAGGCAACAGGACACGCATCATTGACATTACCAAGGTGTCATCAGCTCTCGGAACCAGTGTGTGTTCAGCCTTGATTGGCATACATACTTTCTCTGGGTGTGACTCCACAAGTGCCTTTTATGTTAAGGCAAAGAAGGACATTTTCTGTAGCATATGAGAAACCTTAAGAGTACCTCAAGGCTTTTAATCTGTGTGCTAACTTTAACTTGGACCACTCAACATTTGCACTACTTTGCAAATATGTATGCCACCTTTGTGATCATCCAGCTGCTGAAAATGTCAATGAGGCTAGGTACAAGACTTTCTGTATGGCATCATCAGCCTTGCCAAAACTGTCTATTCCCCCTACAAGCGATGCCCTCTATCAGCACTGCAGAAGGGCAAATTATCAGGTCATGAGGTCCTGTGTCAAACAAAAAATAATATCACCAGCTAGATATGGTGGCACCTAGAAGATGGAAACCTACATGTCACATGGATGACATAATATCCGACCCCTGACAGTGTTTTGCATGTCATACACTGCAGCTGCAAGGAGAGTGCCTGTGGGACAGGAAGGTGTTCCTGTGTCTCTGCAGGACTCTGTTGTACAGAGCTGTGTAGGTGTTGCAACTGTGCAAACACAAAGAAAATCGAGGAGAAGGAGGATGACGACTGCCTTGACACTGACAGTGAAGACTAACATGTCATGTGTAGCCTATTGCCTCAGAGTTGTATTGCAGGGCCTGCATTGTTAACGTTACCATTCATTTTCTTATGTTGTTTTGTATTGTTTTATATATTGTATAAGATTTTCCTTTATGGATCATTGGTTGTTATGAACAGCAATTTCAATTAAATATATCATATAGCAAACAAACACAGTGATATTTAAGAAGTGAAATTAAGTTTATAGGATTTACAGAAAGTGTGCAATAATTACTCAAACAAAAGTAGGCAGGTGCATACATTTGGGCACCCCAACAGAAAAATTACATCAATATTTAGTAGATCCTCCTTTTGCAGAAATAACAGCCTCTAAACGCTTCCTATAGCTTCCAATGAGGGTCTGGATTCTGGTTGAAGGTATTTTTGACCATTCCAGAACGTTGTACTTGTTCCTCTGCATGAATGCTTTGGTAGAATTTGAGC